TGCCTGCAGGTGCTTACAAGCCCTATCAATCAGGCAAACCGAATCCAAGCCTTTTCATTGCCGTCTTGTGGGGAGACTTATTGGTGTTGATAACGTGCCTGTCTTCGGTGACCTGCAGCCGCCCACAGGTACTTATCGTCTTACTAATCAGGCAGACCAAATCCAAGCTTTCTCATTGCCATGTTGTGGGGAGGCCTTATTTTTCTCTATTTCTCTATCTCCGGGCATTCCTATTTCTCCTATTTTACTTCTATCTGCCAGCATTCCTATTTCTCTCATTTTACTTCTAAACTTCTGTTTCTCTTATCCCCGTGGCTTCCCGGCGCCTGCCCCAAGGCTGCTTCTCGGCGCCTCGCCCCGAGGCTGCTTCCCGGCTCTGAGCCGCTTCCCGGCTTCGCGCGCTCTCCGCGGTCTCCACGCCCTTCGCGTCCGCACCATGGCCTTGCGCTAGCCCCACGTTCCCTATCTATTCGCGCCCCGTGCTCTCTCTGCACGCGGTGGCTTCCGTGAATCACACAGCCTAGCTCACGTTTCCACCACCGGTATTCAGTCTAAGTTCCCCGGGCTAACCTGGCGAAATCCAACCTGGCTCACGTCTGCGCCTTTCGGTTTGCCTTCCCGTCTTTTGCTCCCCAGGCTAATCTCACGGATTCCAACCTGGCGGCCCACGTCTCTGCCTCTGGTTCCAGATTTTCGCCTTTTGCTCCCCGGGCTGATTTGAAGAATTCCAAGATAGCGTACGTCTCCGCCTCGGCCTGCCCCCACGGCTTCATCCTCCCTAACATATTTTTCTCTACCCGGTATGTTTCCTAACTTTTCTTCCAACAATATTTCCCTCTCATTTCTCCTGGCTTCTCCCCGCAGTCCGTATCCAAGTCTAAGTTTCTTCTAGGTTTCACTTTCGCTTTCAATCTCCTAGCTTCCCTGCCATAGTCCGCATCCGAGTCTATGAAAGCTTTCACTTTCGCTTTCAATCCTAACTTCTTTCCCACAGTCCATATCCGAGTCTATGCCTAGGCTTTCGATAGCTTCTTCCGGCACCTTTTCCGTCCGGCTTTCCCCTAGGCTCTTTGCTAATCTCTCTCTCCGGTATTTTCCCACTTCTTCCCGCTTCTTCTCTCCTAAGTTTGCTATCCGAGTCACGGCACCATTATGTCGCTCCCCCCTTCATGGAGGAACGACACTAAACCCTGCCTAGGCTTCATATCCGAGTCATGGCACCATTATGTCGCTCCCCCTCTTCGTGGAGGAACGACACAGGACCCTGCGCTGTTCTTTTGTCTGCTCGGCCCTCCCCGGGTTTGCTGCTGGTTCTTCCCGGGTTGGCTACCGACCCTTCCACCTCTGTGGAAGGGCGGTTCCCCCTAGCCACTTTCCCTACTTCCGCGGGGGAGCGGCACACCTCCGGCCGGCTCTCTCGGGGGCTGCACAGGTGTTCCTCTTAGATGTTCCTGGTGCATGCTGTCTCTCTCCTCCTTTATAGTTCTCTTCCACCAATCCCAACTCTGCTACCCACACGCCGAGTACGCTGCTCTCCTCCAATCAGGAGCAGGTCCTACAGTTTATCAAGTTGGTGAGAGGCAGCTGTGTAGAAGCTGTTTCCTCCTCTCCCAGCGCCATATTGTGGGAGAGCAGATGCATAGAATAAGTCTTAATTCCAGTAACTTAGTCTAGTCCCAGTTGCTCCCCACAAAACCCACCAGTTTTAATCCTCTGTTTTCCTTATCTGCTGAGAAGGTTGTTAGTGGTGCTAAAATTTTTCCTGAGTTTTGTAGATCAACTGTTGTATTTATATGGCCCTGGCTATAGATAGGGATATGGATCCAGGGTTTGGCTGCTTTAAATTGCTCCATTTAAATGGTTTACACCATATACAAATAACTCACTCAATTACAGAACCATCTATTGATTTTGAAAGGTTACAGCTTTAAGAAAAATTTCAATTTAACTTGAGGTAACACTCAAGCAGCTTGAGCTGCTCAGAATTATGACATTCCAGAAATAACAGGGGCTTACCTCTGACTATGAAATGCCATTTTTGTTTTGGTTAATGTAAAAGCAAAAAATACCCAGCCATGTAATCTGTATTTATGTACACACAAAAACAAACCAAAACTCCAAAATAGCTGAGGCATTATAGGTTAAACACAGTGATTAATGATTATGGACATTTTCCCTAGCACTTAGAAAAGCTGCTCTCTAATGCAGAGGAAATAATATACCACGGCATTATCAAATGATCTTTATTCGACTATGAAGCGACTAAGGAAAGCCGTTATTTATTCAGCATAATCTGTGCTATTGATGAAAGAACAAATGAAATCCAACAATATCTTCAACACTGCTTCAAAACATATATCAAAGTTGACTTTCATTAGAATGTAGTTCTTCTCGCTAATAAAATAAAGAATCAAGTCCTAGGCTTTATAGAGAGAACAGTATATAGTGGTGCAACAGTTTTTGAGCTTTATCCTCTGGACAAGGAAGTAAGTTAGTCTGTCTCCATAGAAAGCAAATGTAATTGGAGAATGCTTTAATTTGCCTCATCTGGATCTCTCCGCTCCTCTAATCAGAAACATTCACTCTACAACTGCTGTATAAGGCACCAATTCTTTCTGCAGAATCAAGAACTCCAAGCTCTTTGGTTTCTCAGTAGCAATATCTCTTTTGTTTATCAGATTCACTGTCTGATAAAGTTTTGTTTTTGTTGTTTTTTTTCTCCCCTTTGGTACTTTTTCTTTCCCAGCTTTTTGAGGATTAAGAAATAGAAGTTTTATTCACTTTCTCAAGAACTGTCAGTGTTTGTAAACCCCATCCTCTTCAAGGAACAGAAGATTAAAAAGCTACAAACAGAACTTCCCATTTACTACATTTTTGACCTGTATTTTTCCATCACATCTTCAGGCTCTGCTTCTTCAGATTTTCCACCCTTTTCATTCATGTTTTGCATGTAGTTTTTGTAAGGAAAGGGGGCATAGAACAGAGAAGAGACAGAATACGAACATGTCCTGGTTTCATCAGTTTTACTAGAGGACATTTTTAATTGTGGGCTTGAAGAGTTATTATTCATCACCTCTGAGCTGCTCCTGGTCTGGTCTGTGCTGTCTCAGGTCTAGCCAGCCTCAAGCCTGAGCCACACTCAAGCAGGAAGGGTGTGGGGAGCTTTACCTGGGGCCACTAAGTTTTGGGGTAGTTTTCTATAAAGCCATTTATACCTGATTTAGATGAAACTTAAATATTTATACTCCACATGGTGATAGCCAAAGAAAATAAAAAATTGAAGAGAAATAGAGAACTAGGTTCTTTGAAACTCAACACTTTGTTTACTTGAGATGAGAATTAATACAGAATAAACTCATCTTTTTTAAAGAAAAAATGCTTTGAGGAGTTTTTCTGAGAACAACAGTTACTGGCAAATGGTCCCAGACTGTTTAAGGAGGGCACACTGCCATCCAAGAGACTGATTCAGACTATGTAGAAGATACACATCAATGTTTTCACCAACAGTTGACCATAAAACTGCGCATTTTGAGCCTCTTCCCTTGGAATTGATCAAGATCATGATCTTCTAGACATGTGAAAAGAGTTTTTGTTTGTATCTCCGTGATTGTACAATTTGTCACTACAGAGAGACCAGAAACTGATGATGAACCTCTGGCTGGAGTCCCAACTTGCTGAAGTAGAATGGCAATTTATCCAACCCATTGGACATTAGAAAAACAATTTGCTTTTCTTGTGTCATTTAAATCAAACACCAGTGCATAAAAGAATAGAAACATTCACATGAATTTGAAAGGTAAAACATAAGTTGAGATTTTTAGTCTCCCCTCTTCCCCTAAGGCACTTTCAGAAACACGAATGGCATTTGGCCACCACTTCCTCATAATTTTACCTCCCATCATCTACCGCTCCAATTTCTCCCCACTTTCAGCCACACAATTTATGTTCTCCAAACACACCGCCTTCACACTTTTGTTCCAATTGTGTTTTCTACCTGCAATATCTTGTATGTCTAGCCAATTATACACCCCTATCCCCCACCCCTAAGATCCTGGAACACTGAGGACAAGCAAATGTAGGTTTCTAAGACGCTAGTTTAATGAATCTGGCCACTGGAAAATTAACCACAGAAGGGTTGACAAACCCTGTAAAGGAGAAAATACATGAAATATTATCCAAACTTTTGGGGACTTGGAAAATCCCCAAATCTGCTACTTTGGACATCACAGATTGCCATGCTACTCTCAAGTACCAAACACTTACTAAATGTTTTTAAGAATTGTTGAGGAAATCTAGCCTTCCAACAACAACATTTGCTGTTGGGACACTCCCCCGTAATAATGGCTCTTGCTGAAAGTGTACTCAGTAAAGTATTTCACAAACATCCACTTGAGCCCTAACAAGGCGTGGATGTTACTCTCATTTATAACAGCCCAGGGAGCAGGGCTAGGGGCTGCGGGAGACAATCCCGCCCCAGGACACCCTTTGTGCCCTTCGACTGACAGACTTTGGTCCACTTTTGTTCCTGTGGCTCCCAGAACTGGAGCCCACCCAGAAGTACTAAGACAGGAGGCCGGGAAAAAGCGGCGCCGAGTCTCTCGTCTTGTTTTCTCCGCGCGGGGCCCCACGTGCACGCCTCGGGGCAAGTTGCACCCCGCGAGGCCGGCGGGCCTGACGCTTCCCGCCGGGGCGTCCACACCACCCAGCTGCCCGGGCCGCAGCCCCGAGTTCCGTCCGGGTCACGGCGAGCCGGGAAGGCACCAAGACCCTCTCCGCCAAGAGAAAACAGCACCTCAGGAGACACCCCCAGATGCTACAGGGGCTGGCTTTCCCGCCTCGGCTCTTACTCGCCCCCAACCCGCGCCTCCCTCCACCTTCTCCAGGGCAAAAGGGGCGGACCCGGCGTGAGCGGCGAAGCCCCGCCCCGCCCGCGCGGCCTGCTGGATTCGCCCCTCCCCCTTCCCGCCGCCCCTCTTTCCTCCTGCGCCACAGTCTCGACGGCGGCCCTGGTGGCGGGTCTCTCTGTGGGGCCCGTGTGGGTGGCGGCGGGCGCACGGCGCGAGCCCTCAGGAGCGCGCCGCGCGTCCCTTTCTCCCCCGGAGCGGCGGGCTGCGGAAGTGACGTGTTGTTCGGGGCCGCAGCGCGTTTGAATCGGTTCCCGGGTGATCCTCTCGCCTGCCGCGGTTCAGCCGACGAGTAGGGGCTGCAACGCGCCGGGCCGAGGCCTCGAGCCGCCCCTGGGGCTGCAGCTGAAGGCGCGCCGCGCGGAGCCTGCACCTCAGCCAGTCCTGAGCGGGGCGGCGGCCAACGCCGAAGCCGCCGTCCTTTCTCCTTTTCCCCCAATATGGCAGCGGCGGGTGATGGCGGGTCTGGCGGGCCCTCGCTGGGGACTGGGGAGGACGGCGGAGGCGACGGCCACAGGACGGTGTACTTGTTTGACCGACGCGAGAAAGAGTCCGAGCTCGGAGACCGGGCGCTGCAGATCGCGGAGCACTCGGACTACGCGGGCTTCCGCGCGTCGGTGTGTCAGGTACGGGAAGGAGGGATGCGCGGGTGGAGTTGGGGTGGGAGTGTGCCGAGAAACCCAAGTTGCTCACGGAGGGCAATAAACCTGTCACCCGGCCGCAACCCTGCGGCCTTGACTTCTCGCTCTCGGGGGCCCCGCCATGCCTGTGACCCGGCGCCTGGAAGCCGTCGTTCGGCCCTGGCTCGGGCCTCCGAGTGCGGAGCCGGCGTCTCTGCGGGCCTCCGGCCCTTCCTCCCTAACTCTGGCGACGCAGGCTTGGAGCCCTCGGGGCCCGTTGGCCCCTGGAGGGCTAAGCGTGATCGGGGTCGTTCGGTTCGTTTTTCACGGTGTCTTGTGTTCCTTTGGTAAGTTTTTAATCCTGTAAGTGAAGAGCAGAGTTTTCCCCCGGTGACTCTGTAGTGGGTGTTGCGAAGGGCAGACATTGTGAAATTCCTGGAGTTGATTTTTACCTCGGGTTCCTGAGAGGGTGCAGGCGCCTCTCCCGGGTTGTCGAAGACGGTGTGTGGGGCCCGCGGGGTCCTTGCGCGCGGAAACGCTGGTCCAGCTCGCGTCGGAGGTGGAGCTGCCCTTCTGGTTTTCTGAGTCCTGGTCCTGCATTACCTCTAAGGGGGGCCGTGGGTAGCAGGGAGCGCCCGGGAACGCGTCTACTCCTTGTCTTGGGGTGCTTTAAAAATGAATGACTATGTAGGAGAACCTGCTTTGAACTGTGAGGTGCCTTATGGATTGGGGGTGTATTGTCTGGAAGGTCTTTGAAGAAGCAGTATGATCATGCCCCGAATTAACCACGTGAGATAATTTTGAAGCTATAAACAACACTGAAGTTCCAAGGAGAAAGAACTTGCAAAGTGTGTTTCGCCTTCCGTAGGCTGATTTAGAACGGTTCTGCAGAGTTGCTCAAATAATTGAAGATCCAAGAAGGAAGGTGACTTGGGAGCAAGGATTTTATTTTGCCAACAGCCGTCTCCTTGGTATCTAGAACTCTGCCTGGCGCATTGCAATAGCTCAGAACAGAATAGATAAGTGAATGAAGATAAACACCTGTCCATTCTTATTGCATTTGAAAAGTGAATGAATGAACTTGTCTTTTTTGTTGAACATTTTGTATTTAGGAGCATGTCACAAGAAGCAGACTCTTTATGTTTATAATTTTTTGTGTAAATATCATCACATTAAAGAAAATAGGGAACTAGAAAGGAAAAAGTAAGCCTTTTTGTTCATTGTAAAACGTGTTGTGACTACTGTTAGCAGTGGGGTTGTCTTTACAGCCTTAACTTCCCCTCACCCCTTTTAAAACACCACAATACATATTTTATATCGTTTCTTTTTTCCCTTAAGGTTATCTGGAGTATCTGTTGTAGTGCAAATATAAATAATTAAAATTGAATATGGCACTTGACATAACAAAATCCCATTTGGTGATATTTACATTTAGTGTTAAGTGCTGTGACAAACATTTTTGAATAACCTAGTTTTTTCTTCAGTCTTTATTATTGTTTTCTTTAGTTAGGATCTTAGAAGTTAAATTCCTGTATATCAAAGGTCAGGAACCTTTTAAAGCTCCTCAGATCCTATCTTTAAATTGTTTTTTCATAGGTTGTGTTAATTTATCCTTCCTTGAGAAATATTAGATTCCTTCTTTCTTCTTCCCTGTAAGATGTTTGGGTAACTAGCTCTGTCAGGTAGATAGGGGAGAGTATTATTAGCCTGGTATTTCAGAAGTATAAACTCAGTGTTGGAGATAGTGACTAACCTAAGTCGGATAGTGAATGTTGTTTTCAGACCCAGACTTATCCCTTCTCTCAGTGTTTCAGGTTGAAAATCAAGGAAAGTATTTTCTTTGACTAATTCTTTTTCCCCTACTTTCCTCTTTTTCCTGTTAGGGCAAACAGTAGATTTGATTAGAAGTGATCTGGAAGAACTAGTAAGGAAAAGGAGGACTTGGAAAGCTTTCTTTTTTTTAAAGCGTTGTTAGATTATGCCATCAGTCCCGTACTTTGTGTCCATTATATACATGAAGAACTGAATTAAACTCCTAAATCTAGTATTATACAGTTAATAAGCATTGAAACTAGGATTAAAATCTAGGTCAGTTTGATTCTAACGTTTGTATTTAAAGAAAAAACTCCTTCACACTGCTTACTAAAGTCTTTACTTTTCTCCATAGGAGAGGAGGCAAAATATTACACTAACTTATTTTGTTAAAATATCAATTAAACCAGTGAGTTTAGTGCCAGAGGGGAGCATTCACAAGAGGGAGGAAGAGAAGAAGGTAGACAGATCCTGAGTTTGGCACAGAGAGTTAAGCTGCCTCTTGGGACGTTTGCATCCTGCATTGGAGTGCCTGGGTTTGGGTCCCAGCTAGATTAGCTTCCTGCTAATGCAGACCCTGGGCAACAGTAGGTGATGACTAGCTGTCAGCCATGTGGGAGACCCGGATTGAATCCTGGGCTCCTGATTGGCCTATTGCTGTCATTAGGGGAGTGAACCAGCAGAGCATGAACTCTCCCTATACCTTCCAAATAAAAAGAACAGACCGAGAACTAAAGCTGATTTGAAATCTTAATACAAAAATATGGTAATACAGTACAGTTTTTTGTTTGTTTAATTTGAAAGGCAGAGTTACAGATAGGAGGACAGAGTGAAAGAGATCTTCCATCCACTGATTGACTATCCAGATGGCCACAACAGGGCTGGGCCAGGCCACAGCTAGGAGCCTGAAGCTTCCTCTGGGTCACCCAAGTGGGTGCAGGGGCCCAAGGGACCTGAGTCATTTTCACTGCTTTCCTAGGCACATTAGCAGGGAGCTGGATCGGAAGTGGAACAGCCGAGACTTGAACCTGCACTATATGGGATGCCAGCAATGTTGGCAGAGACTTAACCTGCTATGCCACAACACCGGCCCTATACAGTACGGTATTGATGTAAATATAGACATATGGGTCAGTGCAGCAGAAGGGAAACTAGATGTACATGGCCAATTGATTTTCACTTAAAAATTTTTAGTTTTGTTTTAATTAACATGTAAAAATTGTATGTTATAGTGTGTATACGGGTTTTGTATATGTGTATGTAGTGAAATAGTTATTTAACATGCACCTCACAATTTTGTGTGTATAGTGAGAACACTTAAAATCTTTTTTTTTTTTTTTTTTTTAAGATTGATTGATTTATTTGAAAGTTAGAGAGAATGAGAGGGAGAGGCTGAGGCAGAGAAATTTTCTTTCTGCTGGTTCACTCCCCAAATGACTTCTGCTGGTTCACTCCCCAAATGACTGCCACAGCTGGGGCTAGTTCAGGCTAAAGCCAGGAGCTAGGGGCTTCATCCAGGTCTCCCACGTGGTTGCAGGGGTCCAAGCTTATGGGCCATTTTTCACTGCTTTTCCCAGGCACATTACCAGGGAGCTGAGTGGGAAGTGGAGCAGCTGGGACTCAAACAGGCACTCATGGGATGCTGGTGCTACAGATGGTGACTTGACCTGCTACACCATAGTGCTGGCCCCAAAATCTGCTCTCTTAATAACTTTCAAGAGTACAGGGGCTGGCACAATGCGTTAAGCTGCTATTAGGGTGCCTGCATCCATAGCAGCATGTCAGTTTGAGTTCTGGTTCCTCTGCTTGCGATCCAGCTTCCTGATAATACACCTAGGAGAGCAGTGGGAGATGGCCCAAGAACTGGTCCCTGCCATCCATATGGGAGACCCAGATGGAGTTCCTGGCCCCTGGCCATTGCAGGCATTTGGGAAGAAAATTCTCTCTGCCGTTCAAATAAATAAATAATTTGAAAAGAAAATACAGTACATTGTTCTTAGTTGTATATTCACTGTGTTGAACAATAGATCTCTTGAACTTATTCCTCCTGCCCAGCTAAAATTTTGTATCCTTTGACCAACGTATCTCCAACTCCTGTCCCCCACAGCTCTAGCCCGGTAACCACTATTCTATTCATTAAAAAACAAAAGCTTTTTAAAAATTTGTGAGGCAGAGAAAACTCCTGTTTGCTGGTTTATTCCTTAAATGTCTGCATTGGGAAGGGTGGGCCAGGCCTAAACCAGGAACTGGGAACTCAGTCCAGGTCTGCAGGAGTGAAGGTCTGCGAGTGGGAAGGTCTGCATTGGTGGGAAGCAGTGGTCAGGAGCCAGATGCAGGAGTCAAACCTGTCATGGTGTGGGATCTTAATCACTAGGATAAATGCCACTTCCTATGGATTTTAATGTAGATTAAAAATTGAAAGACAATTAATTCTGCTCTAGTGCAGGAAAATGCAGGTAGCCCCAATGTAGCATGGTTTGATGGAAGAATTTTGAGCTTACACTGGTTTGAAACTGGTATGTATTGAGTAGAAAATACATACTTTGGATTTGAAGTTTCATCTTTTCCCAGGCTAGTGATACACTGTACTATACTATTCCATTCTTTGCTTTCAGTACAGTATTCAGTAAGTTATACAAGATATTCAATGTTTTAGTATAAACAGGCTCTGTGTTAGATGATTTTGCCCTTCTATAGGCTACTATAAATGTTCTGAGCATGTTTAACATAGGCCATATTAAGCTATGATGTTTGGTAGGTTGTATACATGAAATGGCTTTTAGACTTAGAATATTTTTGACTTTTATTGGGATGTAACCTCATTGTAATAAAGGAGCAGCTATATTGTCATTGTTGGATAAAGACAGATTCAGAATGACAACACATTATCTGTGTTTGTAGAAGGGAATGAGATGCTAGTATTTCTATCCTTAGATTAAGGTACATGAACAGTTTGAGTGGGAGAAGGCTTCCATGTAATTAACGACAGGCTAGATGAAATACCTATGCAGTTTTCCTGGAAGAGTTTTCAAGGTAATTAAAAATAATAGATTTATGGATAAATTGGGTAGAATGATTAGATATGAATACTTTGCAGATACACGAATCTTTTTTTTTAAAAATATTTACTTGTTTATTTTTTTGAAAGGCAGAATTATACATAGAGAGAGAAACATAGGGAGATCTTCCATCTG